ATAGATCTTCTTCCTCAGAACTGTATAATAGTAATGGATAATGCAAGTTATTACTCGAGTCATAGAAAAAATGCCCACAATCAAGTGGTTAAAAAAAGATTTACAGAATTGGCTAAATTCAAAGAATATTAAGTTCCATCCCGATTCTGTGAGAAAAGAACTGTATCATTTGTGTTCCCTTCATAAAGAGAAATTCAAAATATATGAAATTGATGAAATTGCAAAAAATCGTGGGATGACGGTGGTTAGATCACCACCATATCATTGCGAAGTAAACCCTATTGAACTGATATGGGCACAGATAAAGGTGGAAGTTTCAAGAAAAAATAATTCTTTTAATATGAGTGATGTTAAACAGTTGTTTTTGGAGGCTGTAAATAATGTGAAACCTGAAAACTGGGAAAAGGCAGTAAATCATAAGATTAAAGAAGAAGAGAAAATGTGGAAGTTTGACAATATTACTGATGAAATGATCGAGCCACTCATTGTAAATATTGGTTGCGACAGTTCATCTTCCGATTTCGATTCTGATTTGGATTTGTAGGTAAGAAGTAGTTTTTATATTAAAATTATTATTTATGAACGTAACGTTGTTTAAAAGTCAAAGTTTAAACCCTTATACATACATAACCCGTTTGACACAATGTTCTTAACATACCCTGTGGAAAAATAAAATATTTTAGAAAAAATTGCTTTTTTTTTACCTTCAGCTGTTTAGAAGTTATAAGCAGGTTAATTAGGTGAAACTATAAGTGTATACTCAAGGAATAACTTCAAAAAATATTTTAACTGTCTACTAAAAGAAGTGGTACGCCTATGGATTACGAACGCTTTATTATTTTAATACTCTCTCATACATAAAAATAGACTATAACACAAACTCCCTTCCTAAGTACACCCAACTGGCTAAGGGCGGCAACGTAGGTCGAAAAACACAATTTTGGGTGGTTTTTCGCGGTTGCCATGGAAACCGCCGAACGGATTTGGACGCCGATTTTTTTTAAAAAGCGTCTCAAGAACATTTTCCAAATATTTTCGTTGAACCGTGTGTGACATTTGCTGCATATTGATCAACACCCTAAAAAAATGCCTCACTTGTTAAATAAACAATTATGATTTTGCGAGCGTACAGAGGTTAGATATACCTTTTGTTATAGACGGTTTCCTTAACATTTTGCAGAAAACCGCATCTCAATCAAATCTCTCCGCAAAAAGTTGCAGGTAAAATGATAATTTGACGCGACTACTAGTAGAGAGTTAAAACAATGCCAGAAACGTATACGTATACGTATCTAATGACTTCTACGCATGCGCAATAGCTATTTCTTCCACATATCTATTTACGCCTAATACGCATTCGTATCGAGCCAAGCAAATGCTTTAATAAAACTAATGACAGATTGTAACTCTATATTGTTTTGCTTTTTAAATTTTGAGCCATAATACGAAACGAGTTTCATTTACAGGGTGTTTCATAATATATGCGCAGGACTTCAGGACGTGATAGCTCGTCCAAAAATATGAAAAAACGTTTCTATTAACTTACCCTTTAAAATGCATCATTTTCGAGATACAGGGTGTTGAAATTGAAAAAAAAAAAAAATTCTACGCCACTAGAAAAAGTACGGTTTTGAGACGCCCATTTGAACCGCCAAGGTTTCTACATAAAAAAGGTAATCTTGATCATACGCTCTAAAGTCGACCGTTTTCGAGAAAAATCAAATTTTGTTTCAAGTATGTATGACCATGTATTTCAACATTAAAATTTGATTTTTCTCGAAAACTGTCAACTTTAGAGCGTATGACCAAGAGTATCTTTTTTGTGTAGAAAACATTGGCGGTTCAAATGGGCGTCTCAAAACCGTACTTTTTCCAGTGGCGTAGAATTTTTTTTTCAATTTCAACACCCTGTAAGTTAATAGAAACGTTTTTTCATATTTTTGGACAAGCTATCACGTCCTGAAGTCCTGCGCATATATTATAAAACGCCCTGTATAATATAAACATCAAATTTATTTCTAAAAAGTTCATTGAAAAAAATGAATTAGTAAAAATTACTGGACATTGGTACTCGATTATTTGTTATAATTATATTTGACATGCCAAGAGCTCTAGCAAGCCTAATAATAATTATGTCGATTTACTAGTTTACAAATTTTAATTTTTTTTATAGGTACCCCGAAAGAAATGTAGGTATATAAATATGTTTACCTACCTTCGTCATATCTAAACGTGCAGTCAAATGTTTTTTCCACTATCCAACGGGCTGACGACAGTTTATTGTTTATTTGTTCGCCTCAAACGACAATTATTGGGTTGTTGCATAATTAATTGTAAAAATGTAATATTTATTTTAAAATTATTTAATAATATGAATACATAAAATTAATTTATGAATTTCGCACATTAAGAAGCTCTCTGGACGACTAATTAATTCATGTACTAACTTGTCCGTTGGCACCGCTTGAAGTAGTCGTAACTAAATTTTTGCGCAGCATTACAAAAACTTATGCAAAACCCAATCATTTGTTTCGGATTGATTTAAAATGTAGTCCAATTAAATAACGAAAAAAAGCCCCTTCGAGCTTACATTAATTTGTAATTGGATGAAACAAAGTGGACCTTATGTATTTTGGCGTGATCTTTCTGAAAAAAAAAGCAAAAAAAGATGTAGCTGTTGTTAATTTTTTTTTTAATCAGGAAAAACCGGGTTTTCCGGAAATTTCCATGGTAAAAATGCTAATTATCTGGGCAAGTATCATTCCGATAGTACAAATAAATGCACCAATCGAAACAGGAGGCAAAAATAATTCGGAAATTCATTGCTCAGTTAGTTTTAATGGCGAATTTCTCGCCGCCAGAAGTGCTTTTACCAAAAAGTTGTTTTTTCGTTTCTTTGATAAGAACCATGGACATGAAATTTGCACAAAACTCAAGAAACGTCTTATAACAAGTCAGTAAAATACAATTTAATAAATTTTAAGCCTAATAAATTTAGGAATGTAAGAAATTTAAAACTTGAAATCGCAAAAAATCAAATTACAGAAATGCAATGTATACACGAGTTTTGGATCCCGCGGAGCGCGTGTAATGGGAGTTTTGTCGGGAGAATTCTATAACTTAGAAGAAACATACACACTTTAAACTTTGTATACACATTCAGAAGACACGAAATTTGGATTTGCTCAATTTTCAGACCAAAAAACTGAAAATCGTTAATTTTAGACAACTTTTCTCAAAAACCGTGTTTTTTGGTCGTCACTCAATGAACAGTGGTCAAAAAAATAGATAAAATATTTTTACAGAATTTTCCGTAATGTAATCGTATTCTAGACACAATAAAGTTTTAAAAAAAAGCCATTGGGTGCATTTGTTGGCATTTTTGTGCCACTTCAAACTTTCGAAGAATAATTTAGTTTTTTCTAGGGAAAAAAATTTCTTTAATTGTTTGATGTCTTGGCCAATTACAGTCCGATTTCAGTGAAATTTACACACACACATAAGATTTTACATTCAAGACTAAACTTTGTAAATGGCATTAAAAAAAATTAAATAGATTGGCCGTTATAGGCAAACGATGAAATTAGGCCCGCGGTACACTTTGCCCTTCCGCCATATGCCCAATTTTGGGTTTTCTCTTGGCCCCTTCTGGGAATCAATAGTCACATCCCTTTAGTTCAAAATGCATTTTTATTTTTTCAAATATCTTAATTTTTACCAAAGTTATAAAGAATTTAGTGTTTGAACATTTAACAAATTCAATTTTTCGACCTCCGCCGCCTCAAAATACTAAACAAATTTCAATCGTCCATACCGCGAGAACGGCGCATCAGATCAAAATTTCTCAGGAGACATGAAAATTAGCATTTTTCCTAAGCTTTCAAACGTCGTAAACTGCGTTTTGAAAATATTGATTTATTTTCGACATGCGCCTGCGCAAAATTGAAAAATTGACAAAATCCAAAATTTCGGCACTTTCGAAAAACAGCTACATTTAGTTTTGCCTTTTTTTAAAAGGATCACCTTAAAATACATAGAATCCATTTTGGTTCATCTAATTACAATTTAATGTAAGCTCAAAACCCGTAATTTAATTCGATCATCGAGAAGAAAGTGTAAACAAAGTTCTGATCGTTTTTGTTATGTTTGTGGACAGTTTATATTTAAAAAAAAGAGAAGAACCGTTGTAGATTCATTAAAAAGAGCATATTTTCATTATTTTGGATTTCCTGTTGGAAATCAAGATAAAAAGTGGGTGCCTCATGTGTTTTGCGAAAGCTGTAGAACCGTCTTACTTCAATGGTCATCAGGAGAAAACGTACACCTTCCATTTGGTTCTCCAAAGCTATAGAAAGAACCTAGTAATCATGAAAATGATTGTTACTTTTGTGCACCATTATAAGGGAAAGTGATTCAAATAAATACAAAAAGAAGGCAAAAATTAATTATTTTAAATTTTTGTTTAGTATTAATACCAAAATTATGTAATCAAGTTAAGTTAATAAATATTTTCTAAACCAGACGTGACATAATTTTTTATTTTTTTTGGATAATTCTACCTAAATAAACAATAATTTAACAACTTTCAGTTGGGCTATGAAAACCGTGTAAACTATTAAAATTAAATCTCCCATATAAAACATCACTATTTTCCAAATTTTCTTTATTATGTAAAATTTGTAATACTACAGCATCATATAAATCTTAACCATCATTTAAAGCCCTTAAATTAATAATTGTTTTCTTCCAGATTGCTCGTTTAACGTATCGTCAATTTCTACGTTTGCGTCAGAGAAATACGCATACGTGTGTCGTGTGTAGCTTTGCTTTAACTCTCTATTATCTAGTGTTTGATAAACGTTACGATTACGAGGCTATTGGAGTATCCTTTTTAATGTTTTTTATATGATCTGAATTATATCGATGCATCCAAACGTCGTTGTCGTACACTTACTGGTTTCTGTTTAATTCAACTAATAGTCTTTTTTTTTTTATTTCAGGTAAGGTGCACTTTTGATACTTTCCTAACTTGGCGCGGTAAGTAAAATAACTATTATTTTTTAATATTCTATGAATTCTATTTAAATATATTCAACCCGTAAATCGCCAATAAAATAAATCACTTTTGGTAACAACAAGCGACTCGTGCCGGCATTTTTGAGCATGTGCATTGAGTCAATGTCAGAGCTGCCGCGTTGATCAGTAAACATTAAACAGAGCCGGGCTTTATTTCCTGTGTTGAAATTATTTCTTGCCTAATTAATTCGGAGTTTTGATTTTCTAAAATAAAATAAATTCATTAATTTGTAAATATTAATATGAAAAGGATAATATTATCTACGAGTCTCATATTCAGGCAAACAATTTTCTACAAATAAAAAAAAATGATAAGGTAAAGTTGAAAAACACCCAAAAAATATACTTCTATACTATCACGTCTCAAATTAAATCATGGACGGTTTCCTGCCCATTTACATAAAATAAAAATCATAGACTCTCCCACTTGCACTTGCAATAATACGTCGGTTGGAAACGCCAATCACCTTTTCTTTGAATGTCAAAATTATGCATTACAAACATCTGGGCTATATAAATCTTTAATCTCTCTCAATTTTCCTCTACCAGTAAATTTGACATCCCTTCTGACAAGCACCGATAAACATATCCTCGATATTTTAATTAAATTTATATGCGATACTAAGCTAGATATTTGAGACACTACTTCTCTTATTTCTTTCTTTTCTGTATTCCGTTTTTATTATTTAAACATTCTGTGGCAAATGGACACCGTCCGAAGCCATATCTCTCACACAACACAACACAACACAACACAACACAAAAAGTTGAAAAACAACTTGTGTAGTTTGGTAATTACAAATCTATAATAATTTCTTTGACAGATACCACGTAAAATTAAAATCTCTATTAAAGGAGGTTATTTTGAAAATACTTTATTTTACAATAGGCTTTTCATAGCCTTTATTCAGCGATATTAATCGACCAGTCGACCTAAAATTCTTTTTTCTGTCCCCATTCTAGGTTGTGAAAACACTTCAAAAAATTGAAATCCACCAATCACGGTTCATGTTTTGATCAAACGAATGCTATTATTTTTAGAATTTTAAATAAGTGACAATTCTGTCAAACTAATTGTCAGTGTATTTTTTCGTTATTGAGATTAAACCTATTGGAAAATAAGTTATTCTTGTGTAGAATCGATAAATAATAGAATTTCTATTTCTACTTCGAATATTAAAGCAACAAAAATAAAAGAGTACGTGGTCCTGTAGTCAGCGTTCTAGCCTCACACGCAGTAGACTGGATTTCGATTCGCCTACGGCGTCGTGCTCAAATTTCATCTTATCATATCACTACTAAAAAATACTCTAATTTTACGTTCGTTTGAGTTAAATTTTGCCTATCCCTAAACACAACAGTTTGGCGAGATTCTTAGATGAAATGGTAAAAAGGGTTAATTATAACTAAATTCACAATGTAATTTGATTTAAACTCCTGTTAAATATTACATACTAGTTACTAGTTAATCAGTTTATATTTTTAAGGTACCTGGTACAATTTTTTATTAATTGAAATTATTTTTTGGGACCTTAACAACTTTTTATATAAATTGCAATGAAAACGCTAACAGAACTTCAAATTTTTTTGTGCATTAGGTCAAGTGGGCTTTGAAATTCATGTCAAAAGAATAATTGGACAGTTCCGAATTAGGCATTCCAAACTGATATGGTGGGTGATATGGCAAAATTATGGCAACCCTGTAGGCCTGGTGATTTGACTAGGTCAATGAAATAGATAGTTACATAGATTGATCATCCATATTTTTCAAAATAAACATAAACTTATGCATTGAAGTAAAAAAGTAGGGAATTATTATTTTTTAAATATCTAAAGGCTGAAAATTGGTTTTAAAACACAATTTTGCTAAACCGATTCAAATTAATAAATGTTTGCCAGGCAATATGGCTACTCGCAAACGACCAGCTTTGAGCAATCTATATAACTACATATGTATCATTGGCCCTGTTAATGACAACATGACAACAGGGTTGCCATATCTAAACTGTCAGTCCCCACTGGTAGCCATTTGGACAGGTCATTGGAATGCCAATTGTTTAAATAAAAAAATAAAATTACGTTTAGCGTTCACAAGTATTTAAATTTATTGATTTGACTAATTTAAAAATGAATTTTGAAACGAATGAATTGACTGATATGATTTTAGTGCTAGGTGCTAGTGATGAAAATTGCTTGTTGGCAACTAGAATTTATAAGCAAAAATATCCTGATCGCCGACAACCTCGTAAAGAAATTTTTGAAAATCTGTTGGAAAGATTCAAACGTATAGGTAATGTAGCATATCAAAAAAATGATAGAGAAAAACGAACTCTAAATGAATAAAATGAACTCAGTATTTTACTTAGTGTTACCGAAAATCCAAACACCAGTACATGCATCATGGAAAATGAAACGGGAATAAGTAAATCATCTGTCAATGGGATACTATTAAAAAATAAAGTACATCCATACCATATCCAACGTCATCAGGAGCTTCTTGAAAACGATTTTAAAAAAAGAATAGCTTTTTGTGAATCGGCAATAGAAAGCATTATTAATGAAAATTATTTTTTTGATTGTGTACTTTTTGGGGATGAATCAACATTTCACAAAAACGGTTTCGTGACACAATTTTCATTACTATTCCACCACCAATCCTTATGAGTTAATGACACATAGCCAAATACGATGTTCTATTAACGTTTGGGGTGGTATATTACGGGACTATGTCATTGGACCACATTTCTTTCATGGTCGTATAACTGCCGAGGTCTACTTAGACTTCCTGCAGAATCATTTACCACTACTATTGGAAAATGTTCCACTAAATATAAGACGCCGAATGTGGATATTACATGATGGAGCTCCTGTACATCATGCTCAACCAGTTCGCAACTTTCTGAACCATAATTTTGAAAACAGGTGGATTGGAAGAGATGGTCCAGTTATGTGGCCTCCCAGGTCCCCTGATCTCACTAAAGTAGATTTTTTTTGTAGGTTTCGTAAAAAACGAGGTTTATAAAACTTGTCTATTAACTAGCGAGGAAACGAAAGAAAGAATAAGACAAGTGTTCGCGAGCATAGATGTACAATGTTTGAAAAATGTTTAAAGATCATTTGAAGCTAGATTACAACATTGTATTGCAGTTATAGGGAGTCACTTTGAGCAGCTGTTAAAATAGCTTTTTTTTTCATTTTTTATTATACTAATATTGCATTCTAAAAAAATTTAAATAACTTATTTTTGGCTTATATTTTTTTTAATTCAAATATAAAATATCTTCTAAACTGTTGTGTTTAGGAATAGGGACAAACGAACGTATAATTAAAGTACTTTTAGTAAAGATATGAAATACAGGGTGAACCTAACCTTAAAAGTAAAAAAAGTAAATTCAGTTGATAATAAATTGTAGCTAGGTACCTTAAAAATATAAACTGATTAAATAGTATATTTTAACAGGAGTTTAAATCAAATTACATTGTGAATTTAGTTATAATTAACCCTTTTTAACATTTCATCTAAGAATCTCGCTAAACTGTTGTGTTTAGGGATAGGTAATATTTAACTCAAACGAATGTATAATTAGAGTACTGTTTTAGTAGTGATATGAAATACAGGGTGTTAGAATTAAAAAAAATTAGAAAATCATGTATCTGAGTTTTGACTCACCCTGTACACGTCTGTTACGCTAGGAATAAACTAGAATATTCTTAAAAAAGTAGACTATCGTTTAAAATGATTCATAAAAAAATTTTGATGTTCGATTGTTTCTTTTAAAATATACAGAGGGTTGAACCTAGTTTAAACTTTCAAAATACCCAGTATAACCTCATACATTTTGCTATTTTCTTGAAGGGCAAAGTCAGGGAATTCAAATTTACAATTAAATACAGGGTGGTCCATTTAAAAAAACATAGGTTTGATCAATTCTGAAGGTATGGATCACTCTGTATAATCGAAAATAATTTTAAAATGTGCAGATTAATATTATCTACAGCTTTTGTAAATAACATTGTTTGATATTTTCTATAATATAGGATATATCGAACTTCCACACACTATTGGGACACCCTGTATAATGTTAATAATTCTGTTGTTGGACTATATCGATGTAGGATTCAATAGGAGCAGGACTAATAGTTTTCCAGTTGTCTTTAAACTTTTTGAACATTGTGATATCAGGACTACTTGTGATTTGATGGATTTTTGTTTCAAAGACACATTTTAAAACCAGTTCGTAAACGTGATGGCGGCAAGCAAAGAGTACTTACTAATTCCCTGTTTAGTTTTTGTAGTACATAAGCTCCTTTCAATTGCCCTGTATTAGATGCAGTTGTATCACAGCACAGTATTTGTACTTTGTCATCGAGGTTACAGTCATAAAGTGCGTTTAACACAGCTTTAGCTTGATCTTGATCAGAACAAAACTATACAACACATTGTTTTTGACACGTAATTCGCCACTAAACACCAAAGAAACATTACAATAATTAAAATACGTAAAAACAACAGAAATTGTTAAATAATAATCAAAAGAAATAACCTAAGCAAGTATGTAATAATTACAAAACACTAAACTCTCAAAATAACAAACAAAGAAGGTTTGGGCGGGCAAGGCGATTTAGTCTTGATAATTATTGATATAGATAACCAATGACGTTTATGTGTAAGTTTCGTCATTTTAGCATAGGTCTGCAGAATCTAGATAGTATCATCAGGTATGTCAAAGTTGCATAAAGAGAATGGAAGAGAGGGATGAGAAAATCGTGAAAAGTCTTATTATTGCGAAAGGAAACAGGTATAAAATGTATGAGAGGGAATTAGAACCAACAGCTCCCTTCACAGAAATATAGGACGAAAAAGAAGAAGAAAAAGGAAAAGAAATAAAAGAACGAAAATCAGATTCTAGTTTGTTTTATAAAAGTTACTTAAAGCACGTGTCTATAAAGTGTAAGTCACT